TTTCCGACCCGGACAATTTTAGGGGTCTACAAGTGTGAAGATAAACTTGCCTAATAGTTTAGAACCACTAGAAGTTTTGTCTCAAATAGCGAGGCTAGGAACACGACAAGCGAGCACCCATTCCCAATGGGATGTTCTTTACAAAGATCATCTAGGAGGTCGACGTGGACACCATTGGCTTGGTAATAGGGAAGGAGGGTGGTGCAGTTACTACAACCACCTTGAAATGAATGGGAATTGTCCATTTGTTTTCTCAGGTCAAGAAGACCACTATAGAAGTGAAGACGGAGCCCTTAGAGGAACCTTCATTCTAAAAAGGCCACAACCAACCACTACACCACCAGAAGCCACTTTCAACCACAACTTCTCACCCCAACCACCAACTTTCCCTCTAACCCAAATACAAGCCTCTTCTCCACCACCAAAAATAAAAATAAAAGCCCTTATACCCAAACATCTCCACATCTATGTCCATGAATCTTCATATGAATCGAATGATAAACCAATATCTTTCCATCTCTCTCGCCCAACACCCAAACTTAAGTCACCACCACCACAACCTCAACCATCCACTACAACTATTATTCCCCCACAATCCAAGAAACAACATTTGGTTTGAGGTCTCACTAATCCTCAAACCACGAAGGAGGAGCAAAGGTTCTATAAGCATGCCAAGACTCTATCTCAACTAGAGGTAGAAGATCAAAGAGGAAAAGATGAAAAGTTGGCAATTGAAAAAGTCAAAAGTGTTTGAAGAAGCATTACATCTGTCTACCAAAGATATGACCACTACATTAGCTTCATCTAAATAGGTTGGATGTACATTCTAGTCTTTATCTACACAACCATAATCTGATATAGACGAGGGTCTATGACCATTTCAAACTAATGAGTCTGTTGTTTTGACGAAGCTCTCTAAAGCTACTTTTACTCCAAAAATCCAACCAGACACCCCCATACTGGTCCAAGTTGCAGCACCAGCCACCCCTGCTACCTCTCTTATTGATTTTCCAACAAAGTTTGTTAAACATGTTATGCCTATGTTCCCTACATTGGTGGAACCGTCTATCCATGCCAATGACATTACACATCTGTCTACTAAGGTCATAATTGAGGCAATACCTTTACGGGTAGATACATCGTTAGTGGAGTCCATCTCACAAGAACCAGAAGATTTCCTTTCATATGTGCCATTAACTAATGTTTTTGAGTCTAAAAGTGTATATTCAAATGAGGAGAGAGAATTGCAACAAATACAGGAGGAGCATACAATTAAAGGCGATTGGGTACCTCCAATCTTTGATGCCACCAAGAGGTCTTCATACTTCAACGAGAAGGAGTACATTATCATGCAATATTATGAAGCCATTAGAATTTTCATTCGGCCAAGAACCACCTTGCAGACTGTATTGAGGCCCATTGATCTTAATTACCCACCATGTCTGGATGCAAAAATAACTCAATTTATCCAACAATAGTGCCATGAAGTCCCGAGTTTCATCCATTTGCGAGTTTCTTTGGAGCTAATTTGTGAGGAAACCCCTTATCATCTACCCTAAAAGCTTGGTGAGGTATATAGGTCATTGATGATTCATCCCTTTACAAAGTTCTTCATCATAGACACTTGTCACAAGACTGTTCTCTACTCTGTCTACAATGGTAAGGAGAAACTGAAGCCATACTTGGATGATGTGCACTATCTAGGATATGCCAAGTGCCATCAGTCTAGTGCCTCCTAGAGACAAGATTGAACATCTATCCTACACTATTAAATGTGAAGCATTTTGACCTACCTAATCCCCTCCAGGACCATGCCTTCCATCTCCAACGCTCACTTCATTCTTCGCAAAATTTATCATTATTTATCTCTTTTTGCTTTTACATTTCATATTTTTTACCTAGTAACATTGTTTTTTCTATAGAAAAATTGTTCATTTGCCTTCTTTTGATCAACCAGGTCCATTTGCTCCATCCTAGACTTTCCCCCTTGCAACTAAAGTTAAGCATAACAATCTCCTAGTTGTTCTCTTGAAAGCTCTATGATATGCTTACCAAAGGCAAGCCTATTTTGAAAGGAAAATCCACAAGTTTCTTAGAGATCTGAACATCATGTTGAGCTCTAATAAGGAGGAAAATTAATCTTAAGGGAAGTAGCACTTATGTGAAACATGCTCAATCTTTTTGCTAGTGCCAAAAAGAGGAGTAGAAATTGAGTATTTTAACATTTTTGTTTTGTTTTGTTTTGTTTTGCTTTGTTCATGATCTGTTTTTACTTTATTGTTGTTGTTTTTTTTTTTTATCTAATATAACTCATAACAATATGCTCTTATATAATGCCTTTTAGATCATGCATGTTTTTAGGGGGAGTCCCTTATGCATTTTATCTTATACTTCTATATGCTCTAGTACGAATGTCATGTATAAGTAGATGCTTTGAAAAATAGGCTCTGATATGAATGATAGATAACATGTGCTTTGCACATATGCTCTAATAAATACATTAGGCTTTGATATGCATGATAGATAAAATATTCTTTGATTGATATCTGAGGCTTTGATGTGCAACATATATTCTGTTATGCAAATGATCTGATATGTTCACTTTGATAGGATCTGAAATGAATGAGTATGCTAATAAACAATATTTGCTCAGATATAAATTATGTTATGATATGATTAATTAGATCAAAAGAATATGCCGATATATATGTCTTAAATGAATGTATGCATAAAATCCAATTGCTCATTTGATCTTATACATAACATTTGAGAGATGCATTATTATACTACTTTGATGATATTCTTAATGCTTTCACGACTTAAAGAAAATTATAATTTGGATAAAAATGATTTTCTTGAATTAGTATCTTTTCATTGAAATAATAACATATATATTTTGTCTTAATAAAAAAAACATTTTCTAAGTTAACAAAAACCTTAGTTTCAAAAACATGTTTGAAACCTTAAAAAATGGGGAGATTGTCAAGTCAAAAGATGATCTTGGATGCCTCAAGCTTTCAAGTTTTAATGTTAACAAACAAAACATTTTTCTAAGAGAAAATGTTTTGCAAAATACAAATCAAACAAAGTATAAGACGCAAAATGTTAGACAAAAGATGTGTCATCAGATGAAGCATACAGTTTGACTTCATATAAAGTCTTAAATGCATATCATTTATAATGACTAACAACTACTTGTTATATGTCTAATTGCTTCATTAGCAAATCAAACTAAGAAATATTTTTTGAACTCACAAATTTGTTAATGTGAATGAAGTCATGATTTGCATGAGAACCAAGGACAAACAAATCCTTGAAATCATTGAGAAAGTCAGTAAAAGGTGATGCAAAACCTACTCCTCGCTGACACTCACAACAAATTATCCATTTGGTATTCTAAAGTTGATAAGTAGCCTCCTTGATCAGATAATAAGTGATAACTTGTTGAAACACATTTAATGCATCAATGAACACTTCTCACCTCAAAGAACATATAACATAGACAAACAAAGCAAGATTTTGAGGAACCCTAAAGATTTTACAACGATCATCTTCATCTAGACTGCTATATAAGAAGCTTCACGTTCAAAAAGAAAAAGAACATTCAGGATCATCTTCATTTGAGCTACTATTATTTATTCTTTTTGTAAAACCCTATGTTCTTAATTGGTTGTATCACATCTTGTCTATAAGATGAAACATCATTTATAAAACTTTACCCAAATATAACTATTGTGATAGGGTTGCCCTTAGAGAGACTTGTCTGTAAAAGAATACTTATATCTTATTTAAGATAGTGAAACTCAATATGATTTTATTGAGACAAACTAGTATAAAAATACTATATGTTCCATTTGTCTCTTCTCCAACACTCTTTAATGTTAGCATTACTACTTCATTACTTGAAAAAGTGAGTTTTTTATTAACATTTTTCAACCGCTCTTATAGTGTTTATCTTTTTTCCATAGGTTAAAATCCATAGGAGATGAGTGCTCTGAAGCTCAAAACAAGTTGAAGATCCTGGACAACTTCCAAAAGTCTAGGAGCCAAAGACCATTATCATCTTAGAGGATCGTAACCTTAAAACTCTAATGTTAAATGCACTCTTAGGAGTCCTAAAAGTTCATGAAGTCCATCTAAACAATAAAAATCATATGAAAGCTAATGACATTATTTCTCTAACGATTGGTGAAGCCAACAAGAAGAGAAACAAAGGCAAAGCTATGAAGGTGGAGTCTTAGCACATCAGTTTTGGAGAAAGTTCTGAAGAGTCAGTAGATGATGAGATCTCTCTCATGTCTAAGAAGTTCTAAACAACAATAGTAGCAATAGTGCAAATGATGAGAAGACCAATATTTTTCATGAGGTAGATGCAAATGAAACAAGAATTGAGGTAGAATCTGACTCTAACTCTCATTCTAGTTTTTGTGAAAAATAAGAGGATTACTCTAATGAAGAAGACATGTCCTATGAGACTTTTATGGCAAATTAGCATATGATCACTCTTAAGTACAAATAATTTAAATAAAAATACAAGTTTATTGCTTTAGAAAATGAAAAAGTCAAGAATGATCTATTAGATGTTGTCAAAAAGATTTAAAATCTCAAGTAAAAAAGCACAAGCAATGAACCAACTGAGGTTACAATATTACAAAATAGAATCATACAACTTAGAAAAGATCTTGTTATGTTTGTTGATCGGTCCTCTAAGTTGAAGATGCTTCTTAAGTATAGAAGACTTCCATATGACATAATAAATCTTAGATTTAAGAAAGAGGAATCTAAAACTTCTCCCTCAAAATCTAAGACTATTTCTTGCAATGTTTATTGTAAAAAAAAATCATCATTCTAACATATGTAACCTAAAAGGGAAGTAGAAAAGAAAGTCTATGGTTAAGGATACTAATAAGAAAAGACCTAAAAAGATTTGAGTACCAAAATCTTAGTTAATATTTGTTAAAAATATCCATAGTGGAAAAAAGGAAAGATTCACATTGGTACCTAGATAGTGGCTACTCATGACACATGATGGGAGAAAGATCCATCTTCCTAGGCCTCCAACCATGTAATGAAACACTTTTATTCAAATGAAATGATAAAAGAAGAATCAAAAGTATAAGTAAGATTGGTAAGAACTTTATACCTACTATTTAAAATGTGCTTTATGTTGAAAGATTAAGGTATAATCTACATAACATAAGTCAATTTTGTGATAGTAGATATATTGTATTGTTTGACAAGGACTCGTGCATATTTAGATGAAATGATGATTCTGTACTTTTTATTGCCTACCAAAAAAAAACTAATCTCTACGAGATTAATTTGGATGATCTAGGCAAACAAAATGTAACTTACTTAGTTTCTAGAGTAAATGAAAGATGGATTTGACATAAAAGGCTTGGGCATATAAATATGAAATATATTTCAAAATTAAATAAAAAGGGTTTACTAAGGAAATTGCCTAAGATTTCTTGGAAAACTTGTCTTCTATGTGAAGCATTTTAGAAAGGGAAATAAACTAAATCATCTTTCAAATCTAAAAAGGTTGTTTCCACTTCTAGACCATTAGAGTTGTTACTTATGGATCTCTTTGGATCAACCAAAACTCTAGAAGAGTGTGCTTCCTGGTTGTGTGAAATCAATGATGTACTTGGGTATTGCGTGCACTTAGGTATTGTGTGTGCGAGAGTGGTAATGTGCAAGAGGAGTACTTGAGAACTCAATTCTACATCGGTTTCTTAGTAAACCGATTTAGAATATTTGATATTTACATCATTTTCTGTATAACCAATATATCCATTCTTTTATTTTTCATTTAATTACAAAAATGCCACATCATTTTTCTTTTACATCAGTTTTTGAAGAACCGATGTAGATAAGACGATGTCAAACAATCACTTTCTAATAGTGAAGACTCGTGTTTTTGAACTAATCCAAGCCGTCGAAGATCATCGCACTATCAAAACCCTCATCGACGAAAAACAATCCAAGAAGCACATTGATCAGTTTGCACTCAAGTCCTCTTTCAAGTACTTTCGTGCACTACCCAGGAAGACTCTCGCGCACTACCCAAGAAGCACGTACACACTACCAAGAACTCTCACACACTACCCAGGAAGCACATACATCACTCTTCTCAAACCCTCACCGATCATCGCACTTCCCAAGTTGTCGATGATCGTCGCACTTTCAAAACCCTCATCGACGAACATTGATCAGCTTGCACTCAAGCTTTCTTTGACAAACGATGAAAGTCAGTGAAAGGTAAACTCAATGAAGCCCTCTGTTTGTCGGTGTGGCTGTTATGCCGCAGGAAATCTCTATTTTTTTCCTTATTTATTAGGAAATCCCTTTTATAAGGTTTTTGAAGGGTTCATTGTCAATGTTGGAAAAGTAGGGTTCAATGTAATGTAAGTTTTAATCTTTAATTGCAGTTGTTGATGTGCTATTGTAGAGGAACACGAAGATATATGGTGGTGTACTTGGTGGAGCCATTTTTGTATGGATCTATTTTGAGTTGGTTGAGTACCACCTACTTACTCTAGTTTGTCACATTTTGATTATATCACTTGTAGTTTTGTTTTTGGGGGCCAATGTTCATACCTTTAAATGTTATGATAGGTTATTGTTGGCACATGGATTCTATCAATTGTGGGGAGCTAGTGCAATTTCTTGACCTTGTTCTGCATTGGTAAGAATAATTTATTTTGGATTTATATATAATTTTTTAGAAGGTATGAATATGAACTAATCTTCTTTAAGAGCATTGAAAAGGTATATTTAATCATGATCTATTTCAGACTCATTTGCTTTTACCATATTCAAACTCTATGTGTAAGCACTCTTCAATTCCTACTTACATCTGCATTAAGCATAAATGAAACAAAAAGTTAAGCTGATATTTAGTATCAATTCTCATCGGGACATACCATTAGATTAACAACCATACTACTGGTAAATTAAAAACAACTCCCTCAATCATATTTAGTATCATATTCAGAATAAAAAAATTTATTCTGTTTGTGTATATATGTTCATCTATTTTTGTAAATTATGTCCTCAATATTCTCAATGCACATCAAATGCACTCTAGTACTACTAATTGAATTAGTTTCAAGACATGGAGTACAATTTAATTTTGCTATGTCTCAACTGTCAACGAATGGTGCAGGTGGTGATGTTGGCATTGTAGTGTTACCTAGGACTAGTCAAAGAGCTAGTTCATAGCCATCCTCTGTGGGTGCCAGGGTTGTGGAGTGTGTGGCAAGATGGTTGTGGAGTGCTGTGAAAATAAACTAGAAGAATCTGATCCCAAACCCTGCTATCTAAATTAGCGGAGAAATTAACGTGATCTAGTAAAGCCGATATGGCTTGTAATTAACTAGCTTATTTATCAATCAAGTGTTTGTGAGTTATTTATCTATATGAAATCCATCATGCTTCTTAGTTTTTAATGCATGAATTTTTATTCACTTATTGTGTTTGTTAATAATTTTCTCCCATCATACTTGTTTGAATTTTCATAATAAACTTCATTCCCTTTAATCTTTGGAAAATATTCTTTCTTTCTCTGCCATGCTGCTACACCATCACCATTTTCTTCCTTTCTCTACTGGAAAGTTCACCTTCTCTATTTTTGTCCTCTCTCTTTGATGCTTGTTTGAGTATTGTGATTTACATTTTAGTTTGACATTCCCATGTTGTACCTTGCAATGGAATAGTGAGTCATACCTTTTTTTCATGAAAATTGGACATATGTTATGATATGAATCTCGAGTTTAAGGTAGCAAATTTGTATAGTTAATTATAGTTAGTCATATTGGATTCATTTGATGTTCTGATTCTAAAATGAATTAAAATTTACCTTATATATTCTGGTTAGAACATTTTTTTATGGGTGGTTAAGCTTTGATGTATGGAATTTATCTATTTTGATTTAGTTGGTAATTATGTTCCCTGCATTTAGTAATTATTTAGTGACTTAAATTTTTTAATTTTTATTACTGTTGCAGACTTTTCAACCATTAATTAATCAAAAAGTTTATGTTATAGCTATAATACTGAAAAGGGTAATAATAGTTTTTTTTTAAATGGTGTGAAAATAATACACTAGTTTATTCTTTTAATGGTATATTAAATATAACTTTTAGTGGATAGTACACCAGTATATTTTTTTTTTTAAATTAGACCAAAGCATATATTTGTTGTAAAGTTAAGATGGATAAAATTAAGGGTGGTGGTCACAATACATTCCATTTGAGAAACTAACCCATAACAGTTTAGAATCTAAAATTAATAATTCAAAGTATTTTTTCATTCCGGTTTTATAACAGTTTTGGATCCAAAACTCATTCTAAAAATTGTTTTAAAGTTAAACCATAAACCAGATTCTTTTACAGGCAATTGTTGGCAGATGCGTAACATTAGCCATAACACAATCATAACATTGATGCTTATTGAAAATTTAAAAATCCTATTTTTTCTCTACAATTTTCTTTGGTTTCTTTGTAGTTTCTTTAGTTACTGGTTTCTCTACAATTTTTTGTCTATAATTTACAAATCTTGGTTATAGATTCATAAGCTCCCAAGAAACTACCAATGGAACAACATGTATTGGCCCAATTCACTAATTTATTGCCGAAACTGAGTAGTTTAGGCCATTTAATACTACTTTATGAAAAAAAAAATGGACCTTGGTGTGTAACTATTTAGCTCAAGTTAGTTGTTAAAATTTTTAGTCCTTTTTATCTTTAAGTAACATGTTATAAAACTTGATTCCAGGGTTACTGTGTGTAGTTTATTATTATTTTTATCTTAAACATGATTATAACAAAAGTCACATTATTTTTTCAATTTTTTTACATTGGTGACATTACAAAGTATGAAGTCCTATTACTTTCTAATTGAACTCGTTTCACTGATGAAGGTTGCAGCCATATTTTTTAGTTAAATGTGGATTGTACTTATAAAGGATTTACTGATTTTAATCCAAGCCAAGCCATTCTATTTGGTTGAAGTTTTCCACAATATTGAGAAGTTATGGAGTGGTTCAAGGAAGTGATGTCTCTATTTTATACAGTTTTAATGTTTTCTAACAACCCAATAATTTTATTGTCTCATTCAACTAAGTTTCCAATGCAGCTTCACAACAACAAACTATGATACCCTATACAATGGACAAAGTTAATTTAGAGCTCCCAAATCAACAACTTCAACTTGCTTTATTTGGAGTTGGCTTAGGAATGTCAGAATTGGAGGCTAATAAGATGATGGACTCCTTCCACCAAGGGGATGAACAAACGTCAATGGTGAAGAGGAGCTCCTTGCCAAGGCCAAGATAGTGACCTTAGAGGGTGGACGTTCCTTCAAGGGTGAGGCTAAGTGATGGTGGGCGTGAAAGGTGGAGTCTTGGGCGAATAGGAGAAAGGTTGGGAGGATGGTGTTTTTGGGTATTCTAGTTGGCTCTCTTCACCAAGTGGAGATGAAGGCCACTCAAGGTAACCCTAAACTCACTCTAGGGAGGAGATAGGAGAGGTAGGCCGTGTAGACCTAGTGACTAAGGAGAGGATTTGAGGCAAAAATGCTCACTCAAATTCATATATTCCAAAGTATTTACATGATGCATAGCCTAGGGTATTTATAGGAGTGGGAGACATCTAGGGTTGCATTTGGAGAGTGCATGGACGAAATTCACAAGCCAAATGCACACCAAATGAAATGCAAATGAACCTTAGATGCAACTTGGTGGCCAAGGATGGAATCTTTGGGATTAGTTAGGCTACATCTAGGTGCATAATAAGACCATGCAACCTTTGCCTTCCACTTGGGCCTAGGCCTTTCTAACACAAAAAATAGGTCCAAGAGCCATAAAAAATATGTCTAGGTTTTGTTTCCACCCTAATCAAATACCTTAGCCCAAAAATAAAAACCTATGATCTAAAACACCCCATAATACAAGGGTAAAATGGGAAATATTAAAGAAAATAAATCCTATGACTAAAATACCCAAAATACAAGGATAAAATTAGAAATACAAGTAAAATAGATCCTATGTCTAAGATACCCCAAAATACAAGGGTAAAAATGAAAAATCAAAGACAAGGGCAAAATAGGCATAAAGATAAATTCTAGGCTATCAAAACTTAGGAGAGTGATTAGTGTATTTTAATCTTGAGGAGCATGTCTTCTAAGATTTTGACTTCCCTATCCTCTTCCACTCTCCTAGCCAATTGGCTTAGTGATGGGTCTCACATGAAGCTCTATGGATGGTCCTCCATCATCCTCTCCTTCTTGAGAAGGATTTGATCACAAATCTTCATGCTCAATCATTCCATTGGTACCTTCAAGAGATGTGATTACGGAAAGAAACTACTTAAAACTTAGTTATGCAATCCTTAAGTACATAATTTGTTGAATGAAAGTACTAGGGGAAGGGGAGAGCCAAAGAGGCATCACCATTTTTGAAAAAGTTATTGATAATAAACAATATTTGCTCAGATATAAATTATGTTATGATATGATTAATTAGATCAAAAGAATATGCCGATATATATGTCTTAAATGAATGTATGCATAAAATCCAATTGCTCATTTGATCTTATACATAACATTTGAGAGATGCATTATTATACTACTTTGATGATATTCTTAATGCTTTCACGACTTAAAGAAAATTATAATTTGGATAAAAATGATTTTCTTGAATTAGTATCTTTTCATTGAAATAATAACATATATATTTTGTCTTAATAAAAAAAACATTTTCTAAGTTAACAAAAACCTTAGTTTCAAAAACATGTTTGAAACCTTAAAAAATGGGGAGATTGTCAAGTCAAAAGATGATCTTGGATGCCTCAAGCTTTCAAGTTTTAATGTTAACAAACAAAACATTTTTCTAAGAGAAAATGTTTTGCAAAATACAAATCAAACAAAGTATAAGACGCAAAATGTTAGACAAAAGATGTGTCATCAGATGAAGCATACAGTTTGACTTCATATAAAGTCTTAAATGCATATCATTTATAATGACTAACAACTACTTGTTATATGTCTAATTGCTTCATTAGCAAATCAAACTAAGAAATATTTTTTGAACTCACAAATTTGTTAATGTGAATGAAGTCATGATTTGCATGAGAACCAAGGACAAACAAATCCTTGAAATCATTGAGAAAGTCAGTAAAAGGTGATGCAAAACCTACTCCTCGCTGACACTCACAACAAATTATCCATTTGGTATTCTAAAGTTGATAAGTAGCCTCCTTGATCAGATAATAAGTGATAACTTGTTGAAACACATTTAATGCATCAATGAACACTTCTCACCTCAAAGAACATATAACATAGACAAACAAAGCAAGATTTTGAGGAACCCTAAAGATTTTACAACGATCATCTTCATCTAGACTGCTATATAAGAAGCTTCACGTTCAAAAAGAAAAAGAACATTCAGGATCATCTTCATTTGAGCTACTATTATTTATTCTTTTTGTAAAACCCTATGTTCTTAATTGGTTGTATCACATCTTGTCTATAAGATGAAACATCATTTATAAAACTTTACCCAAATATAACTATTGTGATAGGGTTGCCCTTAGAGAGACTTGTCTGTAAAAGAATACTTATATCTTATTTAAGATAGTGAAACTCAATATGATTTTATTGAGACAAACTAGTATAAAAATACTATATGTTCCATTTGTCTCTTCTCCAACACTCTTTAATGTTAGCATTACTACTTCATTACTTGAAAAAGTGAGTTTTTTATTAACATTTTTCAACCGGATGTGCAACATATATTCTGTTATGCAAATGATCTGATATGTTCACTTTGATAGGATCTGAAATGAATGAGTATGCTAATAAACAATATTTGCTCAGATATAAATTATGTTATGATATGATTAATTAGATCAAAAGAATATGCCGATATATATGTCTTAAATGAATGTATGCATAAAATCCAATTGCTCATTTGATCTTATACATAACATTTGAGAGATGCATTATTATACTACTTTGATGATATTCTTAATGCTTTCACGACTTAAAGAAAATTATAATTTGGATAAAAATGATTTTCTTGAATTAGTATCTTTTCATTGAAATAATAACATATATATTTTGTCTTAATAAAAAAAACATTTTCTAAGTTAACAAAAACCTTAGTTTCAAAAACATGTTTGAAACCTTAAAAAATGGGGAGATTGTCAAGTCAAAAGATGATCTTGGATGCCTCAAGCTTTCAAGTTTTAATGTTAACAAACAAAACATTTTTCTAAGAGAAAATGTTTTGCAAAATACAAATCAAACAAAGTATAAGACGCAAAATGTTAGACAAAAGATGTGTCATCAGATGAAGCATACAGTTTGACTTCATATAAAGTCTTAAATGCATATCATTTATAATGACTAACAACTACTTGTTATATGTCTAATTGCTTCATTAGCAAATCAAACTAAGAAATATTTTTTGA